TAATTTTGGTCAGTGGCGTGGCGTGAATTGCGATATATCGATTGTTTTGTCATTTAAATGTATGGAAAAGGATCGATAAACAGGGTGTTCGCAGCGAACACCTTAATAATCGATTCTTTACCGTAGGTTTAAATGGCATGACAATCGATATATGGCAATTCACGCCACGCCACTGGGAGCCTCGACTGCAGAATAATGAGAATCACGTAATCACGTGTTGCTTTTCTTCCACTGCATGTCATCGTAGTATGCGGTGGGTATTTTACTTATTTTGTTATCATTGGAAAGATTCCATCGTTTTCGGTGAAACAAGGGCACAACCATGGGCGGTACTAGGGATTTTCTGTGGGAGAAGGGCACAGCAGGAGGATATAAAACTTGGGCTAAGGGGCTCTGGGGGCACTCCCCGGCTGCAGAGGGGGGTCCGAGGGGCTTCGCCCCGGAAAATTTTTGAAAATTGGAACGCCTCGAGAGCAATTTGAAGTCATTCTCGATGACAAATTAAATGGAATGAAATTTTACAGATAACAGGCTTTCATTAAAATGAAAAACCACAACCGGATACAGTCAAACTACATTCCAGGTTCCTTAATCGGGGGAAGCTGCTCTCTGCGAAAATTTTCATCTTCTGACATCTTGGATCGATTATATCAGGTTTAAGCTCATATTTATTACATTCGCTAAGCCTTCTTTTACCTCAGAACTAATTAGTAGCTTGGGTCGTTGACATTTTTTGGAAGGGGTCAAGCAAAATTGGGGGGGGGCAGGAAGCACCCCCTTCAATTTCTGCCCCCTCCACTGGAGATGTTGCATGTGTGAGGAATTTGCGATTTGACGACTGATTTTCATGTAAAAGTTTGCAAGAAATACGATGGTGCCACTGGTTTTCTCTGAAATTAACTTCCGAGCTCAAAAAAAGCTCTCAAGTTGAGGCCAAAATGGAGGGGATATCCCACGCTATCCTGAGAGTCCACCTCTACATCAAGACAAACTCTCTATGCAAAGATAGGGAGCAAATACATTGACAGGGCTGCCACTTTATTTGGGGACTCCACAACTGAAATCACGGCAACCCTGGCAATGTATTTGCTCCCTATCTTTGCATGGAGAGTTTGTTTTGATGTAGAGGTGGACTCTCAGAATAGCGTGGGATATCTCCTCCAATTTGGCCTCAACTAGGCCTCAACATGAGAGCTTTTTTGAGCTTGGGAGTTGATTTCAGAAAAAAACCGGTGGCCCTCATCGTGCTTCTCGCGAACTTTTACATAAGAATCAGTAGTCAAATAGCAAATTCCTCACACATGCAACATCTCCATTTCCGCCCATGGGCACAACGTAAAAATTACAGTTTTCACGACCGCATTGAAAGCTCCTGAAAATTAAATATCGGGAAGAAAGAACTTGACTTGTTCTAGATTGCCGTGTCTGTTTTGTTTGTACATTGAATTTTAACAGGTTTGGACACATTTTTAAGCCAGAGGGAGCAGGAGTGTGTTCACATGCTGCCCCATGACCGAACCGATCACTACCCTGTCAAAAACCATCAATCCGCATTACTGTTGTGCTAAGGCAAAACGCCATATGAACATGCAGGCGTTGCCAAAATTCCTTTCATAAAATGAAAATTTATCGAGACAGTTGTAAATAATCTTATTCTAATTTTTCAAACAATTTTGTTCGCAATTTCACCCAAAATATCTGAACATTTTAATTACAATATGCATAACTTTCTTCCAAAACACATTTTTTATCAGGAGAAATTTGGAAAAATTCGAATGTTCATACGACGTTTTTACTTAACATGGCAGTATCCTTGTGCCACTACATTGGATAAACCACTGTAGTTTTAGATGATACAGGCATCCTTGAATTAGAAATGCTCGAAATTTGAGGTACTTACAAACCTAAAGTTTCAATGAGTCACAGGGATCAGAGGTGGAACAGAATAGATCAATTTTCCATACCTAAATAGTAACCTACTTATTGCAGATTGTTCACGATAAAATATCAGGGGAGTGGAAATGTGCTACTTCAATACTTATGTGCATATTGAGATACATATTCTTACGAATACAATGTGCTACTTTTGCTCACAATGCTGCGAAGATATACTGCTCTTGCGCACAGAATGTTCAATTGCGCTTTGTTCTTTTTCTTTACTTAATACATTCTAGACTTAGGTATTCAGTGGAATAAGGCAAACTCAAAACAATCAGTGGGTAACAATTACAGCCAAGGTACGGAAAACTTTCAAGGGATTCTATACGAGTCTCTAGACAATTAGAGTCACTGTCTGAAGAATCATATTTTTCGGATCAAAACCAGATTCTGTCTGTCATTATTCACTTGGATCCAGGATGACATACGAATACTTAGAGTGAAAATCTGATAGAGTCCATGCCAAATACTTTTACTTGCTTCTAGACTGCAGCAGAAGATTGTCTGACGTCACTTACACATGAAATAAATGCAGGAAGCAAGATGGCGGATCTTCTGCCGCAGTCTAAAAGTGCGTTAACTCATTTGGCGTAGACTTTATAATTCACTTTCCCTCCAGAATGGAGAACTTGAGACTGCTTAATTGTGTGAATTGTTATTCACAGGTCCTGAACCGTGCTCCACCTAGCTTCACGGAAATAATTCCCAGCAGGCAGATTAACCTACTTGATTCACACAATGCATGAAAAGCATTGGTTAGTTAAGTAAATGGATCATTACCCTTAGAAAACGGATGATATTTCATCTTGCAAAGAAAACAAAGTATTGCTGGTTCTAAAATTTTAAAAGGACTCGAAAAGTATTGGCAGAGAGCCATGACAAGAGAGTTCAGCTATGCTCCAATGAAGATGATGCGAGTTCCGCAAATTTGACGGACCTGAAACTCTTAATATGTGCAAGAGAGATGTGGCAATAGCTATGTACATTAGGCATGAGGCCCAAAGCATTATGCCCAAATTATGTACACTCAATGAAGTGCAATAGGAAAATTGCATCATTAAGTTGGCTCAAAGCGTTCTTCTGTCATGCTGCAATCAATAGCACTACAAGTTAGAAATAGGAGCCTCCGCAACTAAAAACTACATGAGCTATCTAAAATTCTACAGATTAACGATTCCTTTCTGGATTGATATGACTTACCAATCTGGAGCAGAGCAGATTGTAAACCTTGACTTGTAGACAGAGTAGATTCAGTGTTATCACTTGACACTACACTCAGAAGCAGAATTCACGCACTTCCGCACATCTAAAACGACACAGCAATCCGATCAACGAATATCGTCGCAATGGCCTGGAACGCGAAAGAAAACGCGGCTGAACAAGTTGAAATACGAACAAGTTTCGGCACGTTTGTACACAACACAAGAAAGACACAAGACTTGCATAAATTGCACGATCACCACCGGTATGAGAAAAAGTGAGGTTAGGGTTCCTTCTTCTCTTCATACCCCCCTCTTCTACACTCAGGTAACCGCTGCCCCCTCCCCTGATGACATCATCGCAACTTGTGGATCATTTCCTGGAAGTTAGGCAAAGTCCCCTACGCATGTGCATGCTTCCTTCAGGTTTTAATGAAACATCTTTTTTAATTACATAATTCACTCTCTCAAAATCTGCAAAATTTATTGGAAACCTTTGCACTCAAACTACTTTAAATAAAACGAACCAATTTCAAATTAAAATTCACTTCTTTTATGAGCGAGAAAGCAAATTTGGATGAAATGCGTTTCAATATTGACTTACTCTACGACGACGTTTGGGAGCAAAATGACCCTTAAAAGGCAATTTTCAAAAACTCTTAAAAAAAACTTTTAACATATTTGTTTCAGAAATTCTTTCTGACTATTTTTTCGGCAACGTTCAACTCTTGGAGAAATTTACTTGGAAAATGCTTTAAAAAATGGCTAGGTATACCTATTGAAGAATTGTTTTAAGAAATGTTTCGTGTTAAAAAACTACAGTTAATATTTTAACTTGATTCTTTCCTCATATTGAGTTTTGGACATCAATGTATCTGCAAGCGAACCAACAGCACTTAAAACAAAATTAATTTTGTTGCTTAAAAATAAACAAATCAACGCACAGTGGTTGAGCAAATTCAGACATTTTTAATAAAAACATTAACTACATTTACTTACAAGAATTTCAATGAATTCTGACAGCAAACCTCTGTTTCCCGAAAAACCTAGTGCATTCCTGATAAACTTGATAGGTACAAATCTCAATTGACAGGCTTGGAAGACAAGGCGCTAAAGTGCAGGTTTTGAAAAAATTGAGATATTAATGATTTCAAGTAAAACTAGACTTAAAGCATATTCTGTGAAAAATTCGCTTCTGAACAATTTTTAAGCATCAAGAAGTCAGTTTGAACTTTCTTTTAACCATGAGGATTCATGTACCTAGGAGATTTCGAAACTTCGAACTAGTATTTCTTGAAATAGCAAAAACTGCACTTATACGTCTTGACCTCCAAGCCCCTCAATTGCAATACTCCAAGATTTCCTCATTAAATTTGACGTCACTGAGTTGCTTGCCCTATACCTAATTTAAAGGAGGTATGCGCGGAAATTCTGAAATATTTTTTTCAAATATGTGCTACATTCTGGGATTCAGCTATTGACTACCTAGTAAAATTCCTTATCCGAAAATGAATATTCAACAGCAATATTCAGATTCACTGACATTGATTTCAAAGATATTAGATTCAAGAGCTGTTGTTCACTATTGATACCTAAATACTTTTAGTTTACAAATTTTTTGTTGATACCTACTTAGGCACCTATCATTTACCCCTTTGTACCAACCTTTTATTGGAAAACTAATCTCAGAAGGAAATACATGATTTGAATACAAAATCTGACAGAGCGATAAATTCATAAGGAACTTGCTGCCAGAGATATGTAATAGAGAAAACTAATGAAATGTAATTTTAGAAACCTATGTAAGTACTCACTTGAACGATTTGATACAAAGTTCTGGACTTCAGGAGAAATCACAAGATATTTCAAGGTACGTATTTAAATTTTATTAAATCAGTTAGATCAAAAGAACAAATAAACAATAAAATTGTGTTACTAAGTACAAAAATGACAAGACAAAATGCAAGATCTGTTGGCGAAAAACAGGACGACAGTTTCTTGCAAAACATTTGGTAAGATTAAGTTTCTTTGCTAACCAACAGTTCAATTGTATAGGACATTGTTTGTCCAGTTGACATGTTTGGATCAATTTCAGAATGACATCGTAAAATCAGGTGTACTAGTAAAGTTAGAAAATTGTATTACTGGTTTATTCTTACCCTGTGAGATGAATATGATTTAAATATGTTGAGAAAGTTCACAAGAGAACTTAACGACTACAAGTGCATCATAATCATCATACCAACCACTTAGTTTCTTTAAAGTGATCTTTAAAGTGGTCCATAAATTCTAAAAATCAAACTTTGAAAGACTAAAGAACCATACAAATTCATCTGTCTACTAACATTGCCTTTACAAATAAACTTTTGGTTAGTCCAAAACAAAAACAAATGATAGAAACAAATAATTTGCCAGTTTTAAACTGAATTACCTTGTAAATACTTGTTGGTTACAGGATGAATAACAAAATGAAAAAATAAAAATACATACAAAAAGAATGTTAAAACATTAGACTAGAAAGCGGAGTGAATACGATAAAGAAATGATATGACAATATTAAAACACACTGAGTTAAAAAACTAATTCAAGAAATGGCGATTTTAAACATAGATGTGGATTGTGGATTCACCTAACTTGGATTCAAAATCTACAACCAGTTGAATGAAAATAAAACCATGCTACAATTAAAGTACCTGGAGCTGATAGGTAGGCTGTTAGTATGGAAAAAGCTGGTTCCATTAAATAATTTTACTCAGAGGAGAAAAATTAATTTGCTCTATGAGCATGCCTTGAAAACGCACATAAATTTATTAAAAATATATTCACAGTAAAAAAATAATATTCACACTCTGTTACTAATATATTTTAATACGATCTAAGGATATTTTCGGATTTCTATCAAGTGTGATCGCAATAGGTCAAAAACAGATTGAACGATTCCTACAATTTGACTAGAGTCAGAATCAACCATAAGGAAAAAAAACTAAATTCACACTAAAGCTCAATACAAGTTTCAGCCTCTGTATCATTATACACACTAGGGGTTTAGTGAGATAATTTGTGTCCAAAATCTTGTCAAAAAATATTGTCCAAAATCAACTGGCAAAATTTTTACTTCAGAGCATCAACTGTCGTGGAGATCAAAAGATTGTAATTCATCGAAATTTTACAATTTCTAAAATTGATTTTGCTGAATTAAACATGACAGTAGGTAACAAAACTAAACTGCAAGCAAAACTAATTTAGAGACTAGATCCGAATTTAAATTGATTGAAAATATTTAAAACCCTTTCTCAAAATAAAATGTACATTATAAAGTTTGAATTTTATCCGAGGAAAATTAAGAGAAAATCGTAGATTTTTAGAATTTAAAAAATAACTGAGACAACAGAAAAGTGACTTAAATTTGAAACATCAACAAAACAAAGTTTATCCAGAAAACAAAACGAAGAAATTATGTAACCTAAAACCACTGAAGGCCTCTTTGAGCTACAGGTGTGATGAAATTTGAGATTTTTTGTGAGAGACTAAACTCTCTTTTTTTCTCAATATGTTAAAGATGAGAAATTAAAGGCCTATTGTGCGATTAATTCCATTAGGGGATCTTTTAGCCAATGGTTAGGGAAACTCATTATTGAATGGAAATTTACACAGGAATGAAAGGAAAAGAAAAGAAAATTATACATAACAGAATGAGTAAGTGAGTAAATAAATAACAGATAGATAAATAAAATGGACTAGAATAAATTAATGGACTTACAAAACTTATGACTTCATTATTCCATCAGGGGTGAGAAATTTTTTACTTTCAGTTCTGATACCAATGATCAGAGTCCACATTTGAATACATTTTTGCAGTGTATTTGCAAAAAAATTGTAAGCAGCATACTTGTAAGCCTTTTGAAAGATGGTAACATTTAAGGCATACTTCCATAAATTTTTTGAGACAATAAGCAAAAAAACACTTGGGGCTTTTGCAGAGGTCTCTCTATAATTTGAGTACTTAAACGGGCAACATTGTTGCCAAAATCACAAAAATAAAGCTCAAATTTTCTTCTTAAAATGTCAGTTCTTGCCTTAAGTCCTTTTTACTAACTCAGTCTATATTCATGAAATGATAATTTTCATACAGTCATTTCGTGATAAAATACTACCTATCCCTACTGAGATTGGTTCCGTCCAATTTTTTTGAAAGAAACTTGCATTCATACGATCTCTAAGACATGTATGAAGAGGAAAACCATTTTCTAGAGTGGTGACAATATTTTCTTCAGCAATTGAAATTCTGTTGATCATCAACTTTAGTTTTTACTGAGATAGTTATTCAACCACTGATGAATATTTTCTTCGTTATGTTTGACCCAAAAAGTGTTCAGGCGAATTGTCTCAAGACTCTGGTCTAAGTCTCGCGCACCTGAACCTACATCCACATTTTTGAAGAATCGGTAAACCTGCGTGAAAAAAAAATGACAAAAATTAGAGATGGGATATCAGATATACATTACATTTGCCAGTTAGGGATATCACAACGAAAATTCAGAAACATAAGAACAAGAGCGTCGGACACAACGCTTTAAAACATCCCCCTAGCTTTTGCTTCTGATTAGATTGAACTGCCTTAGGCAAATCGAAAGTATCGTACAGGGGTGTAGATTGTTCTAGGCTTTTCCATTTTTCCAGGAGGCCTGCAAATTTTTGCAACAGGCTAGGTTTTCACAAAAAAGTCAACAAAATGTGGTGATCAAATTTTTTTTAAATTTATAGATGTGTGCTAAAGTTGTATTATTCCACAGGAGTTAAAACATCTGAAAACCCTACGGGGGAGAGACGGGGAAGTTCTTCAGTCTCCACAATTTTTAGGGCACTTCCACAATTTCCACCCCTGGTTCCATATTTTATTTTGAACTGATTCTAAGATCAGCTTCTTGCACCTCATTACTCTATTTAATGATGAGATTTGTACACATAAAACATCTGCCTCTAACCTACAAAGAAGGTGGAGTCAGTAAGTCTGATTATTTGATACAACAACATGTTCTGATGAGTGTTCAGAAGCAAAGTGCCACCTGCAACCGCACCGAATTAATCTAATTTCTTGAAATCAATCTGACTGCATAAAATGAAAACACGCTTCAAATTGGAAGAAGTTACAATATGTATAAAGCAGAGGATGGCAGTGTCTGCCATGTTTTTTGGATAAACTTGACGGATGGACAGGTTTTAATAATTTATTTGATGCTATGCTAAATAATCCAACGGTCACAGTATATTTTTGAGGGATGACCCACTGACCTAGTCAAGCCAAATATTATTGAGTTTGAGTGAAAAGTCTCACTTACTTCATCATAGTCAAACGAGGTCGCAAAATGAGAGGTAACCGATGCAATGAAACTGCCCATCGAAATGGTTGCGTTTCCTAGGAGGGTTTGCAGAGAGTTCCAATGTGACTTCAAATGACGCCAGGCTAAAAATCTTCCTTCAGGGTTGCTTGCTACCACACCGACAACAAGCTTAATATCTTGAGGTTTGATCATCTCACGGCTTAGTGTTGCCAGAAGGTATCTGAAAAGGGAAAGCCAAAAAATTTTATATTGAGAGTGCATTTGGTGAATGTTGCCTTTTTGGTGCTGAAGTAATTGGACAGTTATAATTAAACATATTAAATTTTCCTAAAAACCGTAATGGGGTAAACATTACATTCAGCTTGCCATTTGTTGAAGTCACTCATTTTAAGAGGAAACATAGAGAGGAAAAACATGCTAAAAGTTCTTGATTTTTACCTTGAAAGATTCAAGAAATAAATGATGAGATTGATTGGATTTTCAAACTAGAATTAGGAAGCCGATTCAATGGACAGAACATAAATACATAGTGCTTGTTATACCTTTGCAAAAGCCAAGAATCTGATGCTGCACCGAGAACCTTGAGTAGCAGCTTTTTCTCACTCACAATGCGAGTTGCATTGTACCTATTCCAGCAGAACTTCCACTCTTTAACACCACCGTATTTAATACCTGTAAAATGTTAAAGTAAAAACAATACTCTTAGCCTCTATCCTTTTGTCAAAATAAAAAAATGAACGCAACCGTTTCTCTCCACGTGTTTTGAATAACAGAAATTTGAAGCTCTCGGACACTGAAAAGTTTGCATTCAATTTTTATTTTACTCATTATAAAACTGAAAACTGGATCCTTTTTTGATGATTTAAGACTCACGTGGAGACTCGCTTACGTCAACCGGTAAACTTACACCATTCAATTTTATTCAGATGCAAATTTGCAGATGCATAATAATCATAGAAAGTACTGCCGGTGGGATTGATATGGATCACAACCTGAGCCTTAGAAAATGAAAGGTGGCAAATTGAAATTTTTTGGGCATAAAATATGAGGCCCTTGGGGAAATTGGTGAAGCAGTTGCCATTTACACAACTGCCTCTTTTCATAGAAAGAAAGTCCTTAAAATAGGAATGACTCATTTTTTTTGGAATGAGAACTTAAATGGAGAATCAAAATTTAATGAGAATATTTCTTAATATTTAGGAATGGCATCAAAAAAGTCGTACCAGCAAGATAAACAACTTCTCTAAGATTAGGTGGAATTTTTTCACCGTTGTTCATCCAGTTATTAAACATTAGTTGGGCGTGTTTGACTACATCCTCAACACCAACCAGAACAGCAGAAGCAAGGACATCCGATCTCATCAACCTAGATAAAAATTGGCAAAGTTTATATTGTCAGATGAATTAAAACAGTGAGGGATACAAGAACATCAAAGTAAAAGGGTCTTATTTCTATAAAGTTTGAGAAAAACTGATCAAGGGCCATCCATTACACAGTCTATCACACAATACGCACAGTCTATAAAAACAATAGTGTATTACCTTTGGAAAATACACTAACGTAGCGTCAAGGCTGAAAAAGTAAAAAAAACCCCAAGGGAACAGCACTGAGTGCGTCATACACCTCTAAAATGTGAACAGTTCAAAAATCTCAGATTTTATGATGACAAGACATTAAAAACTGGACCAAAAGACCTATGCATCTTAGATTTTTTAAATGAATTCCAAACTAGACAGTCGAAAATACCAAGGATTTTTATTGGAAATAAATGTGTTGAATGGTTTATGACAAGCAAAACATGACTTTCATGCCCTAAGTAAATTACTTAGAAGTGTTGTTATTTGAGGATACTTTCATAATGTCCGATCAAAATCCACAGAGGTTAAGCTTAAGTGATGAATAGACAATTAATCTACTAGGACTGCAACACATGAGAAATGTTTTTCTCTGTGCTCCATCTTTAAGTCAGTGATATTCAAAGACGGCAGCGCTAAAGAGTTTTTTAAGCTCTTCGAAGTGTTTCTTGAAAAAATTTGATAAGAAATTGAAGACTATGACCTAACACGGACAGCCACTGATTGCAAACATTGAGCTTCAGGTCTTTTTAGCCCTGATTTAAGAGTTTTCTCAATGGTTCGACGAAATTTTCCCTGTTTTTCTACTTGCTTTGCTGTTGCCACAGGACAAATAAGTAAAAGCACATTGGCATGCAATGAGCTGAAAAAATGAATAATTACTCATTCTTACTTTTTTAAGTGGCTCCCACTATCGTTCCAACCAACTGCCTGAGCTACAGGAGATAGGAGCTTTTTCATCAAGTCGAGAAATAGGCGGTAAGGGGTTGCTTCTGCAAGAACTTTGCTCCATGTCTGTAAATGTTCAAGAGCTGTTGCCCAAGGAACATAGTCTCGCTCTTTCATTAAGTATAAACTCAGCTCTAGCGGTAAAGCTGCATCTACCATCCCGCCTCTGAAAATATAGGAACAAAGGTCATTGGTGAAAACAGGTAAAAATATGAATTTCTGGACAGAGGCTATGGATATTTTTCCTTGAAATTTTCAGTAGTATTAGATAGAATTATAGGAGAAATTCTCTAAAAAATTGGACGAAAAATAATATAAATTTGCCAGAATATTTTCATTTAAACAGAAGAAATTTAGCAACACCCAAATATTCATACAGTTTTGTTCCTTACTACAGCAGTACACTGTGTATGGTCAGTGTATGGCGACTTATCATCAATGGCCGTTAACCAGTCAAATCCAAAAAATCGACATTTCAGTTACATGTATCATTTTGTTCTAAGCACGGAGAACAACATACTGCATGAAAGGCCAAGTGTCACCTACAAGACAGTAGTGCATTTAACACCTGAAAAGAGTGTGTTATTGTTCTGCCACAGTTTTCAGAAATGCAAATTTGAATACTTCATAATAACTTTTGACGCTTGATTATTGGAGATACATCTTCACATAATTCTCCTGCATCCAGTAGTCTCCTCAATAAAAAGGAATAGGTTAAAAGTCATCATAAAAATTCAAAAGGTTCAAAATATTTTGAATTTAAAGAGGTAAGTATGTCATGAAAAATGGTGATCAAATAGAAAACTGAGGAAACATTTAAGGGAAAAACGCTTCGCAAAAATGGAACTATAGTACATTTGGAAGTATTTTTGTCAAACGGAACTATAGACGAGTGGGAAAGATGGAAAGTGCTTGTTAAAGCTGCATAAGAAACACTATCAAAGTGAGCGAGATTCCCTTTTGCGAAATGGAAAAGTGGGATTTTACATTCTGTCCAACAGAACTGTGCCAACTGAATGTGGTACTCATGAGCCGTGGGCATGTGACAAGAGCGCTGTGGATCAGGGCAAATCACATCAACTTGAATCTCCTCGTTCCCATCATCGCCGCTGACGTCTCTAGCATTTTATAATTCCCATTCATTCTTAAAGCCCTTGACTGAAGAGCACACCCCTTCTTCTCCACCTATCTCTGGTTCCGTTTGGCAGAAATACGTCAATTTGACCATATGGAAGAATAAACTTCACAGATGAGGTTGCACTTTTAGTTGGGATTGAGGATGAGTCTCACCTGCTGAGGGTGAAGATATCATCAATGAGACTAGCTCTGTCTGCAGGAGTGAACATATGATGATTTTGCTTCAGCTGCTTGATGATGGCATGCCAGAGTTCGTCTTCGTAGTTGACACGATAGAAACAAGATTGATTCACATTGACTTTAACCCACTGCGTTCCAGGATCCACTTCAAATTTTACTGAAAAAAGAAAACATATACTGTTACACAAACTTTTTAACAAACACAAAAATAATTGGGCTGAGCAAATTTTTCGGTTGCATTTTTTAAGGATTTTAAGCAGGACTAAAACTATGCGTCAAGGAATAACATGCTCAATAAGCTAAGATCGACCCCTAAAAACTACAGGTCACTTCGGTGTAAAACATTTGATTTAAAAAGAATTTTTGGTGGCTGCCAATAAAAAAGGCATTTGACTGAAAAAAGCTTCAATAGATTTTTGCGAATAAAATTTAGACAATTTTGGGTATTTTATCTTGTTTCTCTTGGAAAAATTAAAATAGGAGTGGAAATTTTGAGACACCGCCATGAAGATTCGCCAGTGCAGAGTTCCACTGTTAATAATTGTATATTATACACTTTGGAGCTGAAGCTATAGATATTACTCCTCCACCCTTTATTAAAGATCAATTAGTGCCAATAACAATTTGTGAAACTCCTCTTTCACTATTTCCTTGAGGACTACTTTTAATAGAAAAATGTAGGCAATTTTATGATTTGTAGATAATTTGTCTCAAAACAATCTTACAGTTGTTAGGAAAAGTGTTTTTCACGTAAACGTAAAAGTGTGAAATTCTTTGATGAAAAAAGCAACCCAATGAAATCTAAAGCAAAAACATACCATCTGTCATATTCATCCAGACAGTTTCGGTGGTGACATAGCTTGTTTGATCCGTGTAATAGTTCAGTGGAATATACCACTTATAATTATACGGTGATCTGGGTTCAAGGCGAATTGTGCTGTTTTCACCATGCAACCATGCTGTGAGAAGGAATCGACTTTGGGCTGCAGTATAGATATTAGCTCCCTCGCCAGTTGTGTTCTCTCTATATATCCTGACCACGGGGAAACCCATTTGTCTTGTCCAGGAATCCATGAGTTGCTAGGGTGAAGAAAGGATAAAAATTAAAAATTTGTTCCGCTTTTTTTTCACTAGTCAATAAGGCTAATTGAACTAAGTCTTTTTCTCCCTCAAGTTTTTTGCTTTAGAACAGGTTTTCTGGTACTTAATTCACCTATTAGTATATCAGTCTCAAACCGCGTTGTCTCCCTTTCGGTGTCTTAATCTTTAAATTGTTGTAGGTGCATTCCGTGTACTGTTTAGGCAAAATAAAACATTCAATATGTTTTGCTGATCTACAATTATCAACCATAAATCCTTCCTTATTTAGTGAATGCAAACCCTTACTTATTTAGTGAATGCAAATGACCCAACAAGGCCTGCCTGAGGATACCAAAACAATCTCTGAAAAAATGTTGCTGGTTGTGGACTTATACTTTAATCAAAACACTCTGGAAAGGAGAGCTTCTTTTTTCAAATTTTATGCGTTACTGAGAAGTACTTAGTGCTTTTGCTCTACAGTAATTTAGGAGTTTGATGAAATAGGCGCAGGGAGGAATTGAGGAAAATAAATGGAGATCTGAATTTTTTGTTGAGAATAATAAAATTCCCTGAAAAGCGTCCTTCAGAATGAATTTTTCTCTGCCATTTTGGCTCCTTTTTCTGTCAATGGTCAAATATTAAGGCCCAGAAAGTAAAATGCTTACTTTGACTTGAATTGATTCATTGGCATGCTTGCTGAGGACGCTCCAAAAATCTTTAGTGTCCGCATTGCCATACTTATGAATGTTCAAATAATCGTTTAGTCCACTCCTAAGAACATCCAGAGTTAAAAATTTCTCCAGCATGTACAAAACAGCTGCACCCTGAAATAAAAGAATAAAATTTAGTTAAGTAAAATGAAGAGTGATAAAAAAAGATGAATAAGCTGTCGGATGAAATTTTTGGTCGAGAAGAGCTCATAAAGAAAATTCAGTGCTCATAAAGAAACAACAGTGATCCAAATTCGTTTTCCAATTTTAGAATGCTTGAAAATAAGCAGGAAAATAATTTCAACGCTTGTTATTGACCGAATTATTGCAGTTATAGTTGGCTGGGTCATAATAGAAACTTTTGTAGTGTAATAATAAAATAATTAAGTGTTTTTAAGATATCAAGGCAAACAAACCTTGCTGTAAGAAATGGAATCGAAAATGGCCTCAATCTCGACAGGATCGTACACGGAGACAGAAATCGGATGCGAAGTTGATAAGGCGTCCAGGTAAAGTCCCTGCTGTGTTTTATCCAGAATTAATTGCTCCATCATACTCCACTCAGGCATTACGTGATCAACGCCTGAGTACTCCAAGTAACTTGCAAAGCCCTCGTTAAGCCAGAGATCGTTCCACCACCGCATTGTAACTAAATTACCAAACCACTAGAACAACATAAGAGGGACAGCTTCTATCAATAGAGCACTTTAAAGCTGCAGGATTAATTTACTACCATACCATTTGGAATTGCTCGTTCTGAATATCTATTGTAAAAGGTTCAAAGTGAGGTCTGTGGTACGAATGTTGCTCAAGTTATTAACTTGGAATTTCATTAAAAACCAGTGGCGGCGTGTGATGGGTGAACGTTGATGCAGTTGCACCCACAAGATTTTAAGAGACTTTTTCCTGCCTTTCTTTTTTTAATTTATTTACTTGTAAGATTTGGGGAAAATAATTTAATAATAAAATGAATGCTGCTTGATCTGGAATCTTTCTAGCGATAATGTTGCAATTTTTATGCGATAATCTAATGGCATTAATTAGCAAAAATAGCTTAACATTGCATTTTGAATCGGCTAAATTTTGAACATTTTCCGGGGAGGCCCCCGGGCCCCCCTTTGCCCTAAGGGGTATTCAATACCCCCCCGCACCCCGCGGTGAGTGGACTTACTTTTTGCACCTGTGAATCAAATACCCCTTGCGTTGCCACTGTTAAAAACTTTGATAACCAACAAAAATGATCAACAGTCATTTTTTTCCCAGAATTATGGAAGGATGCACCTCTGAAATTAGTTATAACTCACTTTACAAGGAAAAGACTGAAAACATCAGCGAAGATGTGGGGTGAGTTTCAATTCGTTGCTCCTTTGATGTAAGGAAATATCTTAATTTCCTCGTGAGCTCCATTTGACCTGTAAATTCGTACTTTCTAGGGTTCATGTGGAAATTGAGCTACATGCTAATGCTAGAGGAGAGATGGATTGTCAAAAGGGTAATTTTTAGTCCACGGTGTTATGATGTTCGTAAAAATGTTAAGTTGTTCATACCTACCTCTCCATGGAGAGTCAGGCTAAATATTAAAGTAGACTTTCTTGAAACAACATAGTGCTCTCCTATGACAGCCTTAACTTTTAGAGCTTTTGTTGAGTTTCAGAGTTGATTTTAGACAAGATTGGATTGGATGGTAATTCTGTTTATCATTTCAAGAAAAATAAAGAGAGTGGGATGTGATGGTTGTCCAAGTTTATAAAAAAAAAAGTAAGTTGAGACTGTACCTGATGGGCTATTTCATGAGCAATTACCACCGCAACATACTGTTGTGCGGCGGCTGACGTTTCCTGAGGATCGTACAAAATTGATGTTGTTCTTGAAGTGATCAAACCCCAGTTTTCCATTGCACCAACTCCAAAATCAGGAATGGCAATTAGATCTACGAACAGATAATTCATTCAATCAAATTTAAAAAAAAAAGACCGAAGAAGAATCAGAATGAAACACAAGTTGAGAAGAGTTGATAGCAATAATTTACTTAGGGGCAAAAAAAAATCTTCCATCGTTGATTCAGCAATAACATTTGAACAAGAATAAGGCATTATTTGCTTTTTGTGAGGCAAAAACTAGAGCAATGATAGATTCATTGTAAGGAAAAGTTACTGAGTTAAAAAAAATTAATGGATCACCAACCTTGTTTTGGTAGTGGGTACGCAAAGCCAAAGAATTCTTCGTAGTGGTCCATCATTGATTTCGCAATGTTTAAGGCAAATTTAGCTTGCGGAATTAAATCTGGAGGTGCGTAAACGGATACTGAGACGTTCTTCTTGGTCCTTTCTGTGATATGATCATAGTCACAAACTACAAATGCGACGAGATATGTGCTCATTTCAACAGATTCTTGAAAATCATCTTTGAGCTGGAAAAAGAATAACACTTGTCAGAAATGCATCAGGTTTTTGTGAAGAAATGAGAGATTATCATGCATAGTTCTGAAAGGCTGTCCAATTTTAGTTTTGTTGCCTGTATGAAAATGATATTTTTGAAGCGGTCTCCGAACCAACAAAACTTTTTGGTTGGACATCTGTCATCTGCAGAAAAAGAAGTAGAAAAACTGAAGTCTTACCAATCCTGTGCCCATGTAAAAACCAGCATCTTCCGTGTTGACGATGGGCATGTTGAATAGAGAAATATGGAAGCGGTCTCGGAATATTGACATTTTGAAACGAGCTTTGAACTGAGGTTCGTCAAAACAAGGAAACGCTGATCGTGCGTATGTTGGCTCGAAGTGCGTGGTAGCAAGATACCTACAATTATATAAATAAAATCAAATAACTGATGATTCTTAAAAATCAAATTGTCATCAACTTTGACTGCATGAGATATCAAAGAGTTCTGAGTATCAAAAAGGAAAAAAGAGACTGTAACCTACCATTCACATGATAAGATGGGGTAATTTTTCTCTTAGTGCAATGAAAGATGCTTTCATTCTTCGCATTTGGGAGCATTTTTTTCAATTTTCTATCAAATGTGAAACCATTTTATTGTTTTTTACTTTGCTAGTTGCATCTCAGAATTGGTAGTGGTATTCAAGCACGTCACCAGACATTTTTAGAAAAGTAATGAACTTATTTTCAATGTTTTAGAAAAAGCCTCTTTTCAGGAGAGTTAGAATCATGCTTCAATTAAGAATTTGCCTAGCACAAAACAGCCTATTGAGGAATCTTTAAAAGGAAAAAAATGAAGATACCTTTTTTCTCCAGTGCTTGTATTGTAACTGCTTAAATAAAAGCCATCCAATTCCCTACTCAGTCGAGTGGTGTACCGGATCATCAATGTATAATTTGTGCGTCTTCGTAATTTTTCCTTGAACTCTATGTAAATTTGCTGGCCTGAGGTATACTCCAAAAACCTCAGAATAGGAACTTTGTAATGGTGATTTTTTTTGTCCATGACAAACTGAGAAAGAAAGATAAAAACATGATAAGTGCCAATTTTAGTCATGCAAACAAAATTGCAAAATAACGCTTCTCCATGCACTTTCTACAAATCCAAGACGAACGACGATTTTATTTCCAAGACAAACTATGCAATTTCAAGGAAATATTCTATTATACAGGTGTTTAAAGAAAAAATTTGTGGATCAACAGGAACGATACCATTATGAAATAAAGTGGGCATACAATTTCAATTACTTGAGAACTGTTTTGATCTGCAACTCAGAACAGTAAGGAAATATCATTGTGGAATCATTCTTAATTCATTTTGGTTGACCCCAAACTTCTACAATTTTCGTGATATGTGGACTATCAGCTAAATTGTGGAGTCTTACAAAGGTAAGATCTGGCACGAAACCCAAGTATGAGCAACGCACAGTTAATATTGTCGTAAAAAAAGACATCAAATGCCATTCCAACTTACTTTTTCTGAAATTGTGAGATTTTTACTATGGAAGACAATGAAATTAGTGTCCCGCTCTACTTGAAAATCAATTGAAACCTGACCTGAAAATATTCACAAAAATAAGAAAAAAATTAATAAAAATTGTCGAAACACTTTAGATAAAGTTTGAGATAGCTTCTGATGTGATGTTTGAAGCTACACCAGTAAAGTAGAATTTAGAAGGCTTAGTATGATTTTAAATTCAAGATGATGTTTATAGTTGCAAGAAATATGAGACATAGAAACTAAAATTGTAACTCCATTATATTTGAACGAGTATAAATATTTAAGTATTAATTTTGCAAAATTCAAAGTAACTTTCTGATTCAAACCAAGAATATTGATGCAATCTATCTGAAAAGAGAGCGAAGTTGAGCCTGAGTTTTTAATGGTACACTTCCTACAAAGATCAATCCCCATAGAGGGACTAAAAATGGGATGGGGAGAGGGGGGGAAGGACCATTAAAAAGTTCTTTAGAGCATTCTTATGTTAATTCGAGAGTAAAGAATTATATCCCTCCTGCATTTTTTTGTTGTGCAGGCAAAAACTACGTGACTAGGAGAGGAGAGAAAATTCCAGTGTGGATCCTTTGACCTGACATAAAGTGGAAGAGTTACCTTTGACGTCTAGAGTGGTTAAATTCGGATGGATGTTTATGTGATATCGTTGTGGACGAGCGAAAGTTGGAAGACGAAGATTGTTCCATGGGAATATTTCTCCAGTAGTGGCAATAGGAATCACAGATCTTGTTGCATTAAGGTTGTCATCATCATCCAGGAACAACGGTCGTTGACCAATGCAAGGGCAGTCTACAAGGACAAACAGAAAATAGAATATCCTTGAACTTCAAATGTTCTGCTTAGCACAAAAGATATCGAAACCACAAGATATTATTCTTCAGGATACTAGAAAGTCTTCTTTATAACTCCATAAAGAACTCATATTCCTATTTTTTTCCCTGACTTGACAAATATTAGGTAGGTACTCTCCTAAAAAAATTGCCACCGTGAAAAGGAGATATTTCTTTTGATTTTCTTCTGTAATAAAAAAATTGATATATTTGATAAGGAAAAAAGGCTGCACATTTCTACAAAGTTATGTAGCTAATTGTAAGGATATGAATGACTATAAAATGCTATTATTTCCATCATTTTTTCCTTTTTTTTCTCAGCCATGCGACCTTTTGCTACAAATATGAAAATTACTTTGTCTATCCCACCTAGAAATCGCCTCGATATTTTAGAGACTCCCCTACAAATGAATTTAAGGTACCTATTTTCATCATAACACGTATGGTTTTGTTGCCAAAAAATGTTGTTTCCTGGAAATGAGAGAAAGTACAGTCTTGAGCCTCATGCACCTTCTTACCCCCACCTACCCAACAAATTAACGGACTGAAATTTAACTCATGACTCACCATTTTGAGGCCCTACATAAGCAATTATAAGGGCTACAACGAACAGCATAATAAGAGTGCATGATGTAATGATGAGGGCCCTCTGCTGCGAACAAACCGCCAGCCGATCTTCGCCGTACATCTCTCTCTTGTGCATACCATGCCTGTTTTCCCCTGAAAAATAGAAAATATTGTATTCAAGAATTTTGGTTACCTTGTGTGCAAGAGGAGAGTAAAATTTTTAAGTTACAGTGGGTCTGGTACATAACACCTCACCTGAGAGATAGTGTAAGGTAACGTCACGGATAGAGTCTATTCCAAGCAGTCCAAGTACGCTGAGTAGACAATATACTTTGTGAGTCCTGCAGAAGATATAATAAGCCTTCCACATTTTAGACAGCAGAATTTTCTGTCTCATTTAGAGGATCTGTAGTTTTCTCCTTGTGTTTTTATTTTTCAATCGCGCAAAATTTCAAGGAAAAATTATGACTGATTTTCTTTACAAAGAATAAAACATAATTGCAGTTTTTAAACATTGCAACTGCAATCATTACATACTTTTCACATTTGGTAATCGATTATGATAAGGTAAATTTATTACTCATTGAGGGGATGGATTCTATGATGAGTCGTTTCATGGATGTTTCTTTTTGATGATTAGCATCTTTTTAAAAGTGTCCACTTACGTTAGGTTGAGGGGCCATTTTTTTACCTCTCTCAACTTAGAGGATTTAAAAATCTCAAAAAAGACGATCGAGTGAAAAAATTCTACCTAAGACCTATGAAACTTTCTTGATTTCATCAAACTAAGCATTGACAAGAAGTTTAGTTGGTCTCTGGTAAGTATCGGATTAAACTTACGGTAATAACGCGTTTCAGTGAGGAAGGTAACGTCGTCAACCTCATGATCGCTCATTGTATGGTTGAGACCGTTGGGAGGCCGCCGCCAAGCAGTGGCCTCTGAGTCCTTTGTGCTCGACACGATGGAAACTTTGATTAAAGGTTCCCGCTGTTCAAACGCCACAGTCCCTGTTTATTTGAACGGCTGGTAGAGAAAATGTGCTGCCAATAAGCTGCCTACAAATGACAGCTTCTGACAAGTGACGAAAAATTCGTAAGAATGAAATAACTTTCCAACTATGATTTCAGGAATGGGCGCAGATGTACAGTTATGTCAGGATGCTTTGAAACTGTGATCGGTTTAGAGTAAAATCAATGTCTTACGTTGCTAAAGAGATACTTTGAACATCTGTCAAAGGTCAATACATTCGTAATGATATTACCCGGTAAGATTACACGCGAGTAACGCCTTTTATCAGTGAAAAATCGGAGGGAGAGTACTAGTGTACTTAAGTTAAATAAAATTAAAAACACTTGTCATTGGTATTCGATCATAAAAATAGGACGCGGAAAACTGATAACTCGAATATAGGAGCAAATGAGACTCAAATTAATGACAAAAATGTTCAGAATAATGCAATTCGGATGCGTGAATCGAAAGACGCGACAGAAAACCGTGCAGAAAGCCAGGAACAACCCCCTGCGTTGCGTGAAAAAAACTAGAACTCCGGCTTAAAAGCGTTGAGAAATGAGATGAATGTAAAAAGTAATCAATGCTGCGGTCTGCCGAGATGAAATTCACCGCTAACTAGAGTAATTTAACATTAATAAATGAGTGAAAAAAGTAAGTATCTCACGAAAACAGAAAACACCGAACGGACGCCACCTAATATTGACATTTCCTCACCCAGATCAACCAATCACGATGCAGATGGATGAAAATGGAGAAAAACCACCCTTGAGCGGACCAACATCTTATCAACCCCATGCAAGCGTGCTATGCTTTTCACCGCATCTTGCATATAAACATTGACAGTGCTGCGATCTCTCGGCGTGATGATGAACATTTTTTGAGTGAAGTTTAGAATTTTCACCGCCAGAGACTGCGAGTGTCCCATATCTCTACGACGCGGCGGGAAACGGAAATTATTTGAATCATCGCACACCGCACCGATCCGACACGATGCACATTTTTCAGCCACCTCTTTCCACAGAATCTATACTAAAAACCCTGTAACTCTATTAAAAAAGCTGAGAGTATGAGAGCGTGAAATATGTCATTCGATAGGTCACATCGATCGGTTAATTTTCGCGTTTCTAGCTGAAAATATTGTGTCTCTGCAGTGGCGTAACGGACTTCCGCTGGGCCCCCCTGCAAAATGTTTTTAGGAGCCTCCTAAGTCGATAAAATTCCAAAATTATCCCCCCCCTCTCCCTTCCTCACCCCTTCCCGTTTTTTCTCGTATGGTCTAGGCCCGCAGCCCGAAAATTTTTGAGAAAATCAGCCTTAACCACCAAAAAATCAAAGTGGCAGCAGCTTATATCTTTTTACCTTTAGGTATGGTATGTGCAGGATTTAGCCTTCTTTTACTTTATGTTCTGAGGTGGAATTTGATTCACTTGCATGTTTGCGCAAATAAATATATTTAAAAAAAAATAAAAACGTAAACAGTCCAAGAAAAGTATGAAAAACCCCGAGCTAACAATAAAAATCAAAGGAAGAAGCCCCATCTCGATAAGTAAAGGCCCAAAGTTTGAAACCAAAGCTGAGGATCAAAGAGAGAGAGAGAAAAAAATTCCGGCGGCCGAGGGCCCCCTAGGCGCCAGGGCCCCCCTGCATAGCAGGGTCTGCGGGGGCGCCCGTTACGCCACTGTGTCTCTGCATGGGTGTGCTGCATCCGTTTTCTGCCAAAAATGTAGGGTGAAACCAATTTTTCAGCTTTTCCTACTCTAACTACACTTAGATTTATTTTGACTCCGTTCTAGCTCCTCTGATGGCTCCTTTTCAGCAGTGAAATAAGTACATATTATGTATCACAACCAGCGGCAGACATAGAGAGAGGGGAGGTCTGCCCCCCCTCCCCCCCCCGCAGAAATCTAC